AGCCTTCTGAGTTAACATAATTGCAAATTCCTGCCTCTGCAGTGAAAGTAACATACGTACATCTTCAGTTACTATACTGAACTATTTTACTACAAGTTCTAATCAAATTAAGCTGATTCGTAAAATGGTTACTGCTATGCTTTGTAAAGAATTGTTTTGCTACAGAGACCATAATCTCCTTCAAAATCTACCTTACTGGAGTTTACTGTGATAAAGACTTTTTCTTTCTAGCATACTGGTGCTAAAGAAAATCAGACTAATTCTGCAAGGGCTTAATCATGGGTATAGATGCTTCAGTTTGCCTAATGGCTGGCAAAACACATAGGAAAAACATTGCTGACAGGGAACTGCGGACATTAGTTTCCTGTGAGGAGGGCTGTCATGAGTCACGTATTTTGTGGAAATTGGCATCTAAATATTACAGTGGCAGGCAATATGTAAGTGCTGGGCGGGAAAAGGAATTGTGACTTGATTCTGAAAACTAAAAGGATTGTGGTCATAAGAAGAGCAGCTGAAAAGAAATAGTTCCAGGAAAAACTGGAAGGATCAGCTGATTAGCTTAAGGTTGTTGTTTTCCAAGATTACTGTTGCTTCACTTATTTCATGTGAAGGGAAAATGCATGTGTGATTTCTGTTTGTATAGCTCTTACAGCATGCGCTTGAGGTATTTGAAGTTTAAACCTCTGGAGTGTCAACATTGCTCTAAATACTACTGGAAAATGCTTTGATCAACTCAAACCTCTTTCTTTAGGGTGGCATCCTGTTGTTTTAAGGTTTTTGAACTTAGCGGATTGTTTTGCCAAAGGCAAGTTGGGAACTCGAGGAACAAGCTGTTGACCAGAATTGTTCTACGAGCAGCTGGCCATGTCCAGGTGCAATCTTTCTTAAGCATCCTTCTCTTATCAAGTCAGAGGTATGTGCTAGCCATGTAAAGGGAAGTGGTCCAGGTGCTTCTGTCAGGAAAAAACAGGTTTTAACAGGTGAGTGAAATGTTCTGGTAAGAGCCACCTAGTTCTGGCCATATTTCTTCCAGGGAGTTTGGAAATTGCGCAGCAACCTGCCTGTGTGTGTGCATGCTGCGGTTCTGCCTGTGTAGGTCTGATGCTGAACCCAGTATGTCTGCAAGATGTGCCTTTTTCCTGACATGGTTTCCAAACCAAAGTTACATAACTCTTTTACCAGAAAGACTAGGCAGAGTTGATCAGATCCTCTCGTATTTTTTTGGAAGTAGCCAAAACTCTAAGACGACCTTGTGGTGGATTTTCAGTTCTTCCATTAGTCTCGCATTTAGGATTGCAAGTGACAGATCTTTGATTCCTTGATTTCAGAAAAAGGCTTTTTATGTACCTGTGGTTTCTGGTCAGCTGAGCTGGTTTCTTTTCTAATATGAGCTGAAGGCATAGCATGTGACAGGAACTTTATTTTCACCGTTGTAGGTAAAGAACTCATTTAGTACAACCCAGAACAGTCTTTTAAATTACCTGCCTGAGTACTTGCGCACTCAAAGACTTTCTTTAAAACAAGCAGAAGTATAGGTTAGTGTTTTTTGGGGGTGGTTTTTTTTTTTTTTTTTCAGTAGTTGGAAACAAGGAGTAAAAGGGCTGTTTCTGCCGTACGTGTTTAATGGTTAAACCTATTTTAAATGCTTCTCAGAGAACCTTGGGGAGCTGAGCATTTATTAATCATGGTTTATTACTTATTAGTGCACTGTGGTATGTCTAGGGTTTTTTCCCCTTTTTTTCTGGCGTTAATTTGATTTAATTGTAGTATAGGAAAAGACATATAAGTAGTATTGTATGTCATTACTTAGTATAAAAGAGGAGGGTTTTTCTTTCTATTCTAAATAATGCATGACAGAAGATATGTGGTTTTCTAATACAATACAGAGAATAAGTGTTTCTTGGTCCTTGTTTTGTGTTTTGTGTTTTTTTTACTTGGTTTGTTGTTGTTGGTTTTCTTTTGGTTGGTTGGTTGTTTTTTTTCTCCCCTGAGCCTTCTGCATCATTCACAACTATGGCTTAGCAGAGGTGAGAAACCTGAGGATCTGGATATCCACATGCCACATGGGAGACTGTTGAATCCCTCATGGAGGGACTGCCTGAGGAGCTTCGTAGCTTTAGTCTTTGTTCCTTGATCCGGCGCTGGGTTTTTCTGTCATGGGCCTGTTTGCTGGAAGAGCACAGGTCTGGTATCTGGTACACCTGCATCCTGCACAGCATGGCCCCTTGCAGGCTGGTGTCCCGAGAGCTATAAATCTGTGCTAGTATAGTCTAGAGTGTGAACTCATCAGGAAAGACAGTCCTTTCAAACTGTTTCCATATTGAGACTTGGCACTCCATGGCGTGTTTTTTCCTGAAGCTACTTCAGTCTCTGTTGTGTGGGGTACCAGTAACTGACAGCTGGTGGCGGTGACAGATCCCATGTGATGGATGCCTGTCTGCTGGGAACTGCCTTGAAATTAGTCATCATGTTATATAGCCCACTGAACAGCTGGCAGAAGTCCAGCTTCTGTTGATATGTCCTGGATTTGATTTAATGATCGACATCTTTAAGAGCTAAGCATCATGTGAAAGGCTTTCCTGCACTTCAGCAATCATCTGAACCATTTATTTTGTCTTTGTACTTGTCTTGTAAATATGCATGATGATTTTAGTTAGAGAAATGAAAAGTTAGGATTTTGTGACTGTGGAAAAGGTTTCTTCTCATGAAACAGATACTGAGCTCTGAGGGATCTGTTTGCATGAAATTCAGTTCCACGTTCCAGTAAGTCAAACTCAGTTAAGGATTCTAAGCAGATCATCTAAAATACTTTTTTTTTTTAGGTGTTTTTTTGTTGTTTTTTTTTTTCTTCTTGTCTAATATTTCAGGAGTTAAGCTATACCTGAAACTGACCATTGGGAATGAATAGGTTTGTTGGCTCATGGTATTTTGGCACTTTACAAACATTTTAATAACTTGATCTAAATCTTAGCAGTGTTATAGGCAACAGGGTAAGCAGCTTTTGCGGATGTTGTAAACTCAGTATATCTTCAGCATAGCTGTTAGCATATTATTTGTCTAAATCATCTGAAGAAGTGACAAGATAGACAAAGCAGAGTTCCCATACAAAGCCACTTGCCACTGTTTGGCAACAATGACAAGAATTTGCAATTCCAGCTCAACATGGGAGGTTATAACTGTCTATCAAACTGCAGAAAAAAATCACTTATTCCTCCATATCTGCTTAACTGCTGAAGTAGCTAATAATTCAACAAACCCTAAATTGTTAAATTGTGTACTGTTCTTGGTCCCAAATCTCATGCTTGCAGGCAGTGACCGGAGTGGCTCATTCTTGAAAGATAAGTTTATAGATTCACATGAATTTTTAGAAGAAGCGGTGTCAATAGCACTAAACATTTGGTTCTGTCTTTTCCATTCAGTTCTGGAGCTTTTCTCTATGGTAACAGCTGTTCCTATAGAAGCTGATATGCTAACATGAATTCCTTTATGATAGCTCCATTAAAAATAAAATAAAAAAGAACCCCAAACCACCTTCCAAATCTATATATAAAACATACTTTTCATACTGCTGCTTTGCAAGACTTAACATTGGTGACCAACAGATCCAGTCTTGGAAGGACTCATACTAGATGTTACATTAGCAGTATTCATTGCACGCATCAGTTTTGGAGGTGAGCTGCCTACTGCTGTTTCAGCCTCATTTGAGTGGCTGCAGATGGATGCTTTTGACTGTGGGGAAGTGAGGCTGGTTTAGATACTGTTTAGTTATTTGGTTTAGTGGTAGCTTTGACATTGTGTCTTGTGACTATGTTGTATGGGTTGGGAGTTTCCAGGTTTTACCCCAGAGAAAACCATGCTAAAGTAGGCTATTCTGCCTCACGGTACAACACCTCTTCCATATCAACCTCCAGAATCTCTTTTTTTGTGAGTAAGCCAGAGTAAAATTCCATCTCTTAGAGCATGAGGAAATACGTAATCTTTGTGCCTGTGCTAAGAGCAGATGCAGACCTGAGACTGTGACCAATATACATAACCTTACTCCCCCCTCAAAAAGAACAAAAAGTCTTGGATTAGATGTGGCCAGATTGTTTGCTTTTAGAGCAAACATTTTAACAGACAGTGAAGGTGCTCAGGAAGTTCACTAGTGGGGACACCACTTCTAATCCTCTCAAGATAGCAGAAAGAGCCGTTTCTGCCTGTGCTCAGACCTATTTTAGCTCTTCTAGACCTCTTCTCTAGCTCTGCTTCTCTGAATTTGACGTCCACAGGCTCAGAGCTGATTCTCTTACTGTGCACCTTGTGCAAACACTTAACCATTGTGCAAATGAGATGAAAATGCTACTCTTTCATGTGGTACCAGTTCACATTTGCTCTCCACTAGTGTAACAGATTGCATAAATAGCATGAGGCTCTTGGAGTCTGTGCTCCCCCACCCCAGGCCACAGCAGTGAGGGCTGTATCTTGTGCAGAACAGCAGCACTCTTCACCCTCTCCGACTTTGTAGGCACAGAGAGCTTTTGTAACACTCTGACCTTCCAAGTCCCAAGCAACTCTCCATGTCTAAGGATCCTTGTGCCTCCATCACCCAGGATTTGACTCAATAATAACGGGCAAATTGCCAGTGACTGGAAAACAACAAACTGCATAAGCAGACACCAAGACAATTATATGAATCTGAAAAGAAGTTTGTGTGAAATACTTGATAGGCTTACTCTGTATTTGAGGCTAATTCATTGCCAGCTATTATAGAACAAAACAACCAGAGGGAGCTGAAAGACTTGGTTGTCTTATTCAGAATCACTTTCAGTCAGATTTGATAGCTGACAGAAAACTTCTGTAACTAGTAGCAACTTGGTACTAAAGGAAGACATGACCAGAAATTGTACTGTGGGTTGAATGGTCTGTAACACTCAAAGAAAACCCACAAGCAACAAAAGCTTGCAGCTATGTTACTGTGAATGTTTGTTTTGCATTTATTTTTGACAGGTGTCCTCTGATCTACTTCTCTCAATCTTCTTCATTAGGGATTTTTTTTTTTCCTCTTCCATCTGTGGAGTAAATAAAGATGCTGATATTGAAAGCACTTGTGCTGCTGGGCTGTGCACTGGGCATCAGCACGTTCCCCATGGAAGAACCTGAAGATGGAGGCAAGCACTGGGTGGTGATTGTTGCAGGTTCGAATGGCTGGTACAACTATCGACACCAGGTAAGGACTGCCAGTCCCACATGCTGATGCTGGCCACACTCCAGGAAATGCCTGCTCTGAGACTTGCAGGGAGATAACAGCTGCCTAAACTAACTCAGGCCTTCTGTCATATGGGCAAGTGCTTCTACTTGTAGGCTTCCAGAAATGTGTGAACTTTTCAAAACACACAGCAATGAGATTTGCTCAGAGCCTGGTTATAATCCTTGTTATTTTTGCCCAAGATTTCTCTTCCACTGCTTCTTTTTGTGTTGGACTTTTTTTTTTTTTTTTTTTTTGCTTACAACTTTGACCAGTCTTGCATCTTTTTAAAAGCTGTCATCAGCAGGAGGAGCAATATTCTCCATCTATGTTTCTGCATCCTAGGGATCCTGTGTCATTTAGGTTAAATATTCTAGTAGTAGTCTAGAGGATCCGATGCCAACTTGCAGGTGAACAAATGATGTCTAGATTTAAACCTTATTTTTGAAACACATGCATGTTTCCTTCCATTTGTTTTTCTCTTATGTTCCTTATATTCCTCCTGTCCAGTTAAAAAAAATCTGCGAAGGCTGCAAGTGCACAGTATGTTTTTGTGGGGTGGAGGACATGCAGGAGGGTGCTCTTTTTAATTTGAATCAGTTTGCTTACTGTATTTGACAGCATGGCTTCAGCGTTGTGTTGGCACAAGAAAGATACGATGCACCAAGGTGCAGGGATCAGAGTGAATGACAGAAAGAGAAGAAAAGTGAACAGGAACTCCTGAGCTTGACGCTGCTGTCAAAGCCAGTGTGTTGTAAAATAGTGGTCTGAGTGTGAGTGTCAGCATGCACAGGATTAAACCCAAGTGACTTAACTCTGATTAAGTTCAATCAGCAGCCAGGAAACTACAGCAGTTTTTTTCCCTTTGGGGAATTCTTGGACCATCCCTTAAACAGATTAATTACACTTAAATGCAGTCTTTGCTCTAAACTTGGAACTACCTCTTGCTTTCTTGGAGAACAGGGTCCATTTACTTCTGGTTTATGTATACATTTGCATATTTCTAAATGTTAGGAAATAGTTACTCAGCTCTTGTTGGTTAAGGTGAACTTGAACAGGGATTGAAACACCAGTGTACACAACCAGCATTTTAAAAGTTAAACTCTATTAAATGCATTGGGTACAGCTGATTTGCTGAACACTGAAACTTTAAAAATATTTATTATTTTTGATGTAACTGCCTCTAAAATCTAGAGAGGCTTCATCCTCTCTATTTGTGTTGGTTGTGGAAGAAATGAGCCTTCATGTGTTGGGCACACTGCATTTTATGTTTACATTTTTCTCCCTCTCAGCCCACATTTGTAACTTCTGGTGCGGTGATGAGCTTAGAACTAAATGAACCAGGCTGACAGCCTTGCTGCATCTGGAGAAGAACCTGTTATTGGCAAATGCTAGCTCAGCACCTTGACAAACTTGTTTTAGAGATTTTGCCAGCTCCTTGCATTATAGATATATAACCTGATGTAGTTGGAATATCATAGCTCTAGTATAAACTATTCCTATTTCAAATTAAATCTTAAAAAAACAAAACAAACAGATATTTTTTAAGTTTAAATTGGAAAACAATTATAGAAATACTAGTTGTTTTGAGTTGTACTCAATCACTGCCTGCTCTGTGGTGTCTAAATACATAATTAATGAGTTGTGCTCTGGCTGTTGCTGTATAACCAGTCTTGCTGGCTCCCTTCCACTTTAGGAGGAGTTAATTCCATAACATTAAGTCTTTAAATAAAACTACATTTTTGAAGCTGTGGCTCATGAAAATGCCTCTTCTGCAGTTACCCAAGAATAAAGCTTTTTTAACCTTTCTGTCAGTAAACCTTCAATGGCAAGTATATCTGTCAGGTATAAAGTTATGAAGAACACAGAACGCACACTTGCATATTTGTGTTCAACAGTAAGTGTTTTAAACATGCCAGTTTCACAGAAGCAAATTAACTTCTGAATGTGATCATGCTTTGCAGAGTTATTAAGTAAATACTTTTCAAGGTTAGAAAATCGAGAATGGATTATTATTTTTTTTTTAAACACTTTTATTTTGGAGATAACATCTCCAAACAGTGCAAAATATCTGCAATGTCAGATTGTTCAGAATTTCAATCCTAGAAATTTCTCTGTTTTAACCTCTGCCGCTTGCTTTAGGTACAGTATTAGCATTTGGGGAAGAAGGAGAATTGGAACACCACTAATAGTCTCACCAAAGTTATGAAACCAGTGTCATAATTCAAGGGAGTCTGTGTGACAGATCCTTCAGAATGGGGCTTAGCTCTTGCTTACCTCTCTTAGGCAAGATACTGTGCCTCTAACTTGTTATGAAAAGAATCAAGTCACAGAAGACACCAGTGTATCAGCAGCCTGTGTTGTCTTGCCTAGTGGCCTTTCGTGGCCAACCTTAAGGGCCTGGCAGGAGTGAGCACCTGTAGTGCGAGGGCAGACCCAGCAAATAGTTGTGGAAAGTCCATGGGGTGTGTGCCATGAAGTGTAACCCAGAGATGGGTGCCTTGGGTATCAAAAAATTGGGGAAATTTGTTCCCAGCAAAACCAGCTGAACCATAGATTTTTAGGAGAGTTATACAGAGGAGGAAAGGTACTACAGAAATCTTGGGAGTTATAACAGGTTTCTTGGAAACATTATGCAGACTGATCCCCATGTCTTTGTGTGTGTTAGTGCTCCCCACCTTCCACCGGTGGGAGCAAAAGAACTGTAAAAATTACCTGCTCAAGTCACTTGCAGTGGAACCAGGAACAGGACTTGGACTTCCAGTTCTGTGCTTTGTCCATTAAGGAAGTAATTCCATAGTGAACACATGCAGAAATGCTTGTTAGTTTTCAGTAGAATAATACCTGTACTCTCAGAAAGCAGAGCAGGGCTCCAGGATTGCAGATTTGTTAATTCTTTGCCTTCCAAGGGAGAAACGGCAGAAAAAAATGTTTTGACTCCAATTCACTTTCCTTCTGCCATCATCTTTTGTCCTCAGAATTCCTCTGACCTAGCCTGTGTACAAGTGGATTTGTAGATGTGAATGTTCCTGTAAGTAGTTACTCAATGCGACTTTTTTTTATTACTGGAGTGGTTGCTATTCTCTACATGCAACTAAGCACTCATCCCATTGCAACTTGAGACCTCAGGAGACTCAGTTCAGCTATTAAGGGTATAGTTAATAAATGATGTATGTTTGTATTACAGTTATATTTTGTGAACTCCAGTTGTTTTGCATGCTGTCTGCACATGACGCAATCAAAAAAACCCCTTTTGCCTTCTGCAGTAGTTACCTGGTGGGAATACATGTCCATTGGACTAAACAGCCATGAAAGGAGAAGTTTATACCTTCAAAAATTTCTCCAATTTCATATATGAAAAATTGTGGGAAAAGCAGCCCATCATTGTATGTACTGTATGAACAGTAAATTTGTAAAGAATATGCAGACCCTGGAAACTCCAAGTTTGCACCTGTAACCTCAAGGAATCTGAAATTGCTTCTAAGGCTCGTAATTCAGCTGTCAGTGGTCAGGATCCAGTATGAGTGATGCAAACCTCAAATGTAGACAAGATCAGGAAAAAACCACCATTTGCGCTTATCTGCGAATGAGACTCGCAACTTGCAGGCACTTGTTTCCTCTGTAATGGTGGAACTGTGACGGTTTCCTAATCAGGATGATCTAAACTTGTCTTACACGTTTATCTCATCAAGTCCCGGAAATAAATTTGAAGTGTTCTGAATAGTATACAGCCCAATGTGGTAGGCTTACTGTCATTGCAAAGCTAGCTTGTGTAGTGCCTTATGCACTACACGATCTCAGTTCTTTGTTGTTTTTATACGTATCTTAGTTGGTTTGATTAGAGTTGCTTGGGCATCAATAGTGGAAGGACTATTGATGTGCATTTCTCTGCTCTTCAGTAGTTACGCTGAGTTCTCTGTAGCAGCCTTTTTATTATCAGACTGGCTGCTATGCCCTAAATGCAGCTAAGCACTCATAATGCATATGAGAAAGAGTACTCCCACCATTCCCTGGAAAAGTGACTTGGCTCTCTAGTATGAAGAGCTAGATGATAGATCTCTGGAAAGCTTAGCAGCATACATGAGCAAATATAGCACTAAATGCTTACTGGTAGATTTAAAGACTGAGTCAACAAACTAGTTCTCCTTAAGCGAAGTAGAATTTCATGTATACTTCTGCCTGTCCTTGGAGGTAATTGTGTCAGCTAACTCAAACCTAAAGCTGTCTTCACAAACAGATCAGGGAGAGACAGACCAATACTTCCTGGATACTGCAAAACACACAGTGGGAGAGCTGGATGTGAAACACAGCCTTACTAAAGGTGGAGAACACACTTGAGGAGAAAAATAGCTGAAAAAGTCTGGCAAAATTAAAATGCTGAAAATAAAAACATTTGAATTTGCATATGTGGGTGTGTTTTCAGTTGTTGCTTTTAGTCTTACTGAGCATTATGAGTCAGGGACTCTGTTTATTCAGGGTTTTGGACACTACCTGCCAAAGTAGTATCTTATTCCAGGATAGTCCTAAATTCTCCAATCTTGCAGGTAACAGACATTAAGGGTCCCTTGGGTACTTGACTTCACTAACATTTCCTCATTGTGTTTACAAAATTGTGACTGAAGCTATGGGAAAACCTTCCTTAAGTTCTAAATTATAGTTACTGCTTTGGCTGATGTATGTCTAAGCAGAGGAATGAAACATGGCTGGCACTTCAGACATTCTACTATATATATATTACAGTTCATTCTTTTTAGGGCCATGGAATTTCAGTGTACCTGTAATGGGAACAGTGCCACTTTTCAATTAAGCTGACACTTCATTACACATACCTTTTGGCCATGAATCTAGCAGTCATAAGACCAGAAGTAACCAATTTCACAGAAGTCCAAGCTTTTCCCTTCAGGAACTATTTATGCTTGAATGTGTCATGAAACAAATGCATTTTTCCAGCTTCCCACCTCCCCCACCCCTCCAAGCAGTCTACTTTTTTTTTTTCTTCTTCCCCTTTTCAGACTTTGTCCCAAATGTACATTTTGGGAAACAAAATGCCCACTCCAGGAGACAAGGTAAATTCCCCCTTTGATCCTCATGCTTTCAAAATATAGGCGTTTATGTATTTATGCAGATTTAACTATAAACCTTCCATAGAAATTTGCTGATGTAGCAACAGGTTGAGGCTAACCTGGGGATGAAAGCTCTGAACCATGCCATTAACAGAGTGCATTTTGGAGCTGGCACGTGAGGTCAGTTGTGCAGTAGCAGGTGTACAGGTACATCTTCTCCTCTATTCTATGCAGGGCAGCTGCTACCCACACCAAATCATGGCCGCAAAGCGTGATTTGCATTTAGTGACAATTTATCCAGTAAATATTCATAGCATCCATTTCACTTACTAAACCACCAGCAGTAATACCAATAAGAGATCTAGAACAGTATTAGCTGTCTCTTTTAGTGTGGTTTCAGCAGTGTTTGAGAGGCAGTTCCAAATCAACAGCAAGTACTCTAGGTTCACATACGCCTCCCTGCTCTAGCCGCAGACTGTATTCTGGCTTTATAGAGGTGGGTTGTTTATTTTAACGTGTATGAAAGGGACAGGAGGAGCATATGATTGACATCAAAGGTGGCTAGTCAGGTCAGCTAATTCTATGCAAAACCCCCCAATTGTTTACTCAGAACTGTCCTACTTTAGCAACAAAACATGGTTTTGCTGTTCTAGCTTATGTGGTGGTATCAGTATGCTACCAGCAGGTACAGGTCCCTTAGCAAAAGGTTGAGGCAATCCTTGAAGCGTAAGTTAAAGTTGAGGGAAGTTGTTATGTTGATGCCACACTAGGGAATTTAACCCATTTAAATTTATCACCAGTGTTGACTTTACAAAGACAGGACATAGTGAGCAAACAGTCAGTGAATCACAAGGAAAGAGAGACAAAAAAAAAACATTTACAAAGTGTGACTGATTTTGGGTACTGTGGTATTGATTAAAAACACCTCTGAAGTTCCTACTGGCTGTGGGAGCACAGACACTTGCTGCTTGAATATGTTAATATAATATCATGATAGTATGTCTAAGCATTTCTGTGTGTTGCCAGCCTATAACTGGTTCTGTCAGCATAACAGAAGTGTATTATATCTTGAGAGTGAGAGGGGATCTATGATTTACTCACTAACCAGTGCAGAGAAGCCCTGATTATTGTTTTCTTCTGCTTGGGTTGCTCGTGAAAATGAAATACATGTTTAGTCAAACCTGCACACTGCTGTTTCACATTATAGGTCGTGCCTTTATATCTCTGTTTAACCTCTACCTTTTGACTTGTTGAGGCAGCAGACAGTATAATGTTATACAAGGAAATGCAGAACTATAAATGGTGGAGATTGTCTGAGGTGGGTGAAAGAGAACATAGGCTGACCTGCATAGTAGGAGGTGGAACTGCTTTAGTAAGGACAGTTTAGCATTCAGGGTTAGTCATGTGGAGAGATTTTGCTATGGGAGAATTCATTAGTATTGAATGTGCCTCACCCTTCCCAGAATCTTGCACTACTACTCTCTTTTCTCAGCTTCAACTGTACTTTGAAAACCAAGGATTATAAAGTGACAGGATTTTACAGTGTCCTTTCCAGTCAAAATCACTAATACTTCTAAGTCATCTGAACTTAACGTAGGTCCACTTAAACCACTTCAGTTTGGTTTATGAAAAAGGAAATTCGATTAGTTCAACAGAAGTAAGCTTTAAAGCTTGGTTCTTGCTTGCATTTGGAGTGCCTTTGTTAGATGAGATTTCCTCTATTAAATCTGCACAGCTTTTTCTAGCATGTGGTAGGTTGTTGTTCTCCAGGTTAGGAATAATTGTTAATATCCTATTAGGTCGTTCACAGACTGCAATTCTAAAGTTAATTATTTGGGCTGGGGTTACTAAGAATTTAGCATTCTGAGAGAGACTTGCATTTACTATAATATCATTTTGATGACTATTGTTATTTCCGCGTTATAGGAAGATGGTTTTGTAAAGAAAATCTGCTTATTCGTATCCTGTATGAGTCAGGAAAAAAGCCTGAATTCTGCAATTCTGTTTTCCACTGAATTCTGTTTTCTTGCCACAAAGCTGCTTCAGTTGTTACTGTACAAGAAATACATAAGTAAAAAGGAAATCTTCCTTTATCAAAATTCTCATCTAGTAAAACAAAATTTAATAAAATCTTTGCAGAGATAGATTGGTAAACCACACTTGATTGAGCCAGTGATAGTCTTTGCTGCTTAGTCATGCAGGCTTGGTGCAGAGCTAATTGAAATTGGTGGAACTCCAACTCTTTACTTCTGCTTCTTGGCATATTTTGGATTTGTCTGGCAATGCAGAAGGGTTTCATTTAGATTTTCTCACAGAACACTGCTGAGAACCTTTTGTTAAATGTTGTCATCTGTACCAAGTCTGAAGTAACTTCTGGTTTTGATTTAAATGAGAAACCAAAATATGTAAATAAGGGAGAGATTTTAATCAATTAATGCGTCTACTCCTAGTTAGGGAAAGACATCGAGTTTTGGTTTAAGTTGTGCATTTCACCCCTCTAGCAACACTGAATATCTTGTGTTTGAATGCGATTGGTTACTTTTGGACAAGTGCCTGCTCTTAGACCTGCAAAATTATTTTTCTTTTGGTCTTTAATCTCTGTTAAAGCTAATAATGAAAATTTGCTTAATTCCAGGCAGACGTGTGCCATGCATACCAGATTGTACACCGAAATGGAATTCCAGATGAGCAGATCATTGTCATGATGTATGATGATATTGCTGATAATGATGAGTAAGTGATGAATGTGCACTGGTCACAAGCTATATGGTTACTAGAAGCACACCATAGTCACCAATGTGTTTTCAGTTTTTAGTAGTTTTTTAAGAAAAGCCTTTAAAACCGCTTGTGATGCACAAGGAGATACTTTATCCTTGAGCACAATAATTCTCTTTTGAAATGTGCTCCTGAGCTTCCTAAGCCTTACTTCCACAACTCAGCATCAATTGTGGCACTGAGGACTGCAGAGCTTCATTGTTATGACACTAAGTGACCTTAACTCCCAGGTGTAACAGTGTACAGGAGCTCTGTGTATGACTTGAAAGACTTTTTGAAAGGATGTTATATCAGTTTAATCCCCAGAATGTACATTCAGCAGTGTACATGTCTCATTCTTGATGACTGCCTAGAGCGTATCACTGCTGTCAATATGAAATAGTTCAGTGATACAGCTTGTAATTCTGAAACGGCTTCAGCAGAAAAATCAGTGGACTTCATATGCACAGCCGTACTGGGAGCAAAGAGTAAAGGGGACTTAAGGGAACACTGAAAGAGAGATGATAGTATAAGAGACCACCTGCCTACGTTTTAAAGTAGTCAGCATGATCTAAGGTGGGAAACATGAAGTACTCTGAGGGTAAGGACACATGAAGCAAGCATATGTAACTGGCCGAAGTGAAAAGGTGTTTATATTCTGGGATCACTTAACGATACATGGTGCAGGTATCCATACTCTCTCCCAGGCACGCTGGCCAGTCAAAACAGTTTAAATGGTTTCCTAGTTGTTATGTGGTTGTTGTATGGCACATGGCTAGTCATTCATATTTATGTTCTGTTCAACTTTCAGAAACCCTACAAAAGGCATTGTCATCAATAGGCCTAATGGCACAGATGTGTATGCTGGAGTGCCCAAGGACTACACAAAGGAGGTAAGAATAAAACACAGGGAAAGTGTAGCATTAGCCAGTGTTCTGAATAAATCCTTCCAGCCTGTAGCTTACACTCCAAAATGCACATAGTATAAAGCCTCCAGCTTATTTGCCTGCATGGTATGGATGACATTTGGTGTTCATAAGACGAATATAAACAATAAATGCTTTGAAGTGAAGCAGTGGTCATATAAGTAAACCTTTACAGTGTTTTTGTGCTGGAACATGAAATAAAAGGAGGAAAGGTCTTGCATTCAAAAATGTTGTAACTCATTCTGAAGAACAGCTGTGTAAGACTAATTGTTTCATTAAATCAGAACAGTAATCCAGTAACTTGGTGATTTAAGGATTCAGTGAGTCATCATGGCTCGTACATTATGTAATGAGTGATTGAAAGGGATGGCCAGCTAAACTTGCCATCCACGCATGCACTCTTATTTTCAGAAACCATCTTTCTAGATGAAGATTTTGTTGTTGTTTTATGATCAGATTTAACTTTAATCCTCTTAAATCCTTAGGATGTTACTCCAAAGAACTTCCTTGCTGTTCTCAGAGGAGATGCAGAAGCAATGAAGGGGGTGGGATCAGGAAAAGTATTGAAAAGGTAGGAGAAGTTCAGTTTGGAAAATAATTGCATGTGTAGTTGTACATTGGCACTGATTTCAACAAAAGAATAGGGTAAATTAGAGCAACTTGAGAATCCAGCAATACTATTAAAGGCAATTCCAGATCATTCACGTTAGAAATTCAGTGGTTCTTGTTTCTTAAACTATCTTAAACTGTTCTTAAACACCAAAAAGCAGCTGCTGATATTCAACTTGTATGGAGTCCAGTATAAAATCTCTGGATTACAGTATCAACTGTATTAAGGTATTTGTTATTTAGACAGCTGTCTTTTGCAAAAGTGGTTATTCAAAGAGAGTTTTGTTAAGGTTTTTGTTTTAGGGGTTTGCTAAGACTTCGTTTAATGTACATAAACAGTTGTACTGGGCACCTGAAGTGGTGAGACTTAGCAGTCTGTGGCAGAGGGACAAAGATAACTTAAATAGCTCATCAGCTGAAAGAGTTGCATGTCTAATCGCAGCCTTGGTCTTTGTGGCAGAGGTAAGGTTATTGAGGCTCTGAATGTAATGAAATGGAATTATAGTTTATATTTAATACAAAAAAGTCTTTGTGATTAAAAAGGTAGTATAAGCAATTAACCTTGGATGTATTAATGCCTAAGGTATTTGTAAATCAAGTTAAAGAAATGATTGTAAGTTTGGCAGTATTCTAATATATGAACAATAATAAATTGTCAACTGGCTAAGTAGAACGTAAGATCTGTTATTCAAGAATAAAAGCAATATATTTGAGGGCCTAATTAGAAGACCTCTTGGAAAGATACCTGATGTCAGTTACTTATCATGCTTCTGCAGAGTTTGAGATATGAAATTATGATGCCTATTTTGTAAAGTGTGTTCTATTTCTGACTCAGTACTGTTTATATTATGGTATACTTTTTATGTATGGTATTTGCTGTAAAAGAATTTAAATCTGACCATTTGGAAGGACTAACATAGTTTAAGAAAAATTGTCTAAGTGCCTATCTTCATCTGACAGATTAATTTTAGAGTCAAAGCAATGAAACAGAAGAATCCTGCCCTGGCACTGGGAAGAAGGAGCAGGACAGCAGTCAAATAAACTATTGCTCTCAGTTCTTTAAACTTCATCTTGAAAAGCTGAAATAGAAAATGATATATGCAAGGCATCTAGACAAAAAGTTAATGAATGCCTGCATGTTTACGAGATTGTCCTTTCGTAGTAGCTGGAATGAGCCCGGAAGTGACTATAAAGCATTTTTTCTTCAGAAACACACCTCCCATGGGAAAGCTTCATGTTGCAAGTCAAATAAGGGAGTGGCTACACAGGGGGCCAAGGACTCTTCAGCTGCACAGGAGGACATCTTAAACCCACATATAAAAGTCCTTGTTATTTACATTTCAGCTTTCTTGTATTTGACTTAGGGTCAAGAGTGGGAGCCAGAAAAATAGCACCCAGCCTTTCTTTGTTAGGCTCTCTTATGTGAATTTCCAAGTGGCTTGACTTCTTCTATTTGGTGGGACAAGAACTCAGTTATCCTCTGCCGAGAAAGCCCCTCGATTGTCTTCCAGTTTGTTCCGTAACCAGCAGGTTATCAGCCAGGCAGATGCTTGAGCTGCTGCAGTTGTACCTTTTTGCAGTCAGGAAAGAGCAAAAGCAAATACAGATTTCTGGACCACTGATGCAGAGGAAAAGAGGAGGTCTTGGGGGCTCCTTCCAGTCTTTTCACATATTTTGTACTTAATTGTCCCTGAATACAGTTTAAAAGCAAAATCCGTTTGCAGATCTGGCTATTAGGGCAAGACCTTAACATCACCCAAATGTGATCTGTTTGATTTAGAGTGCAATAAAAATCTATGGCAAACTGTGTACTACACAGATGTTGGGGAATCAAAGCTGGTGAACGTGCAGTGCTCAGCTGACGTAGTGCAAATGCCAATCTAGCCTAATGTGTGAGATTGTATACACATCAGTTCTTCATGGAGATACGGGCTGACACTGATTTGGCTAAGTATGGCTATGCAGATAACAAGGAAGTACATAAACATACCTAAGGATCTTACAAAGAAGTTTTTGTGGTTTATCTCTTTATAATTGGAGCCTCGGTATAATTTAGTGATAGAAACATTCCTTTTTAAGCAGACTGCTACGGTATAACAGATTTTTCAGATAGACGTGAAAAACCAATTGTGCTCCCACCATACTTGATGTGCCAGCCCTTGCCTTACCAGCAATCAGTTTACAGTTTGAAACATAAAGTGTAATTGCTGTATTCCCCATGCTTGAAGGACTAGCTTATACCCCTGTTTTCATTCCTTTTGCAGACACTCACCTCTTCTCATAAGCACCCAAAGTAGTATGCTTTGAGAGGAAAAAGGTAGTACCAGCTTCAGCTGTATTGTTTTCAAATACTGACATGTCTTAGCATTGAGAAGCAGATGATAGTTGTTGTGATGAAGATCAGGTTGGAGTGGTTAGGAGAAACTTGTTTGCAATTTTTTCATTACAGTGGTCCCAAGGATCATGTGTTTGTTTATTTCACTGACCATGGAGCTCCAGGACTTCTGGCTTTTCCTGATGATGATGTAAGTATTTTGGGAGATTTCTTTGTCATAAGAACCATCCTTTTAGTGACATACTAAAATAGTAACTAATAAATGTAAAACACAAGAATGTTTGATGCTTTGCCGTATTGAGGGGGGAGGCAGAAAAAGAGCAATATGCTTCTCATCAGCACAGTTTGGTTTTTTTCCAGTTTGAATTTAAGCCCTTGGGTGAAATTATGTCATTTAGTATTTCACTGGACTTTGATGGTCCAAGCAGACTATTTCACACAGGTACGACTCGACTTTCTGGTGCCCTATACTTATCATGTGGGACCATTACTTACCTTTTTCGGAGGGGTAGATACGAGAATGTTGTATTTTGGGCAAAGCACCAGATATATTTGATGGGAAACAGTATACATATCCACAACAGTTAGTATTTATCCCTATTAAGTGAATTGTGTATCTCTTGAACATAAGTGGTTTTAATACAAGGCTTCTTATTTTACAGCTTCACGTGAAGGACTTGAATAAGACTATTTGGTACATGTATCATCACAAAAAATACCAGAAGGTAAACAAGCATTATCAGAAATTGTGAGATTAAAAGAGCAGCTGGCACAGAAGAGAGACATTTGTCTTCATCTTGAGAGTTATTTAAAACAGGAGGAAGCTGTTGCTGTGCAGTGGAATTTGGATTAGGATTTTGTATTTGAAAGTATTGATCCTATCCAAATTTTCTCTTTCCATTTTTAGTTTACTCGATATCTTCAATAGATGTTGAGATGTAGTGTACTGCCTTCTGATAAAGGTATATATTCTGACCAACGGTGGAGAAACACCATCTGTAACTACTACACTCTCATATGTACCTGTACTTTGCTTCAGGCTGCACTGTTACTACAGGTAGCCTGTATATACCATGTTTCTCATACAGTTACTAATATAGCTTAAGAGACTGTACCTCTTGTTAGAAAATTATGTGCATTTATTTCATCACATGTAGTCTTAAGCAAAAAAATTAATATTTAAAACATTTTAGCAGCTTGCCTTTTTTTTAAACAACTTTCTGCAGTAATCTGTCTACTATGGCTGGCTGTATTTAGGAACACAGAAATAGCCATTGGTTCCAGCAATACCACATTCAGGAGTGGTGCATTACTGTGCACGCTGTGTCTGTGTATGTTGTGTCACTCTTTAGTGACTGTCTATTTGATTTGTTCTTTGTACATTAGTCAGTAGTTCTGTGTGGATTCTGTAGAGATTAATGACATCTTTTCAATGTGATTGTTTCCCCTTTCCACATACTTTAGTTCCCCAAAAATGAAAAATTGAACTACTTACTTTTGTTTTATTTTAGAGCATTATGGATATCTCTTGTTTCAGGTACGGCAGTACAGGCCATCTAGCTACCACTGAAAAGCATTGCAGGACTTTTGTCCATGTCCTCATGGAATTTCTTAAGGACTCTGGTTTATCTTACAGATGGTGTTTTACATTGAAGCGTGTGAGTCTGGATCTATGATGAATCATTTGGCTGATAATATCAATGGTGAGCAATCAGTTAACTTACTGGAGTTAAATGTCACAACTTGTAACAGACCTAAACAGATACCATGTCAAGGGTAGGTTCAAGGCAGTAGAAGTCTTAATAGAGTAGAGTACAAGAATTAGAGAAAGTAATATTTTCCATTTATGGGAAATTCCTTTTAAGGAATTAATGGAGTCTTACAAACGCTCCTGGGGCTTGCTTTTTCTTGCAACTGAGAAGTTGAAAAACCATTTGTTTTCAGGAGCTATGGGGTTGCCCTTAACTGGTAGTAAGTTATACTGACCTTTCTCAGCCTCCCTCAGCACTGCTAACAGTGGGTGTGAAGTTCCTGCTGTCAGTTTCATTGAGTAGCAAAGGTACTCAGGAGACACCAGGCCAGTCAATTTTGCTATACTTATTTGCATAATAACCCAGGAAACGGAACTCAGATTTTTCAGGGTTTCTAAGCTCTCTGCTGCAGAGCTGGGAGCTCAGCCTTGGTTAGACAAGAAGTCCTTTTCAGACTCCTGCTCCATGGCAGGGAGACTTGAATGATCTGGCTATCTTGTAGGTTTGAAGCTGTGACTGCAGGGAAGACCAGCCATGTGCCTATCCATGGCTTCCTGTCTCTTTGGCCCTAGAGTGTGCTGCCTGGCACCCACCTAGATTTTTTAGAGCCCTGTCAAAGGCTTACAGAAAGTTCACACAATGTTTCATATTGATGATTGTTCAACATAAATCTTCAGAGAATCTGCATTCTTCAAAGTTTGTTCTGTTCGGAATTTCCAGTCCAAGGACTCTCTGGTTTCACCACCATCTCTGCCATGGACTTACAAAGGCAGAAAATTGATAATTTATAGTAGGAAGCTGTCTTTGGCAGCTTTCAGTAGCAAAGTACAAAGCTTAACAGGTTACTTGGTAAACATTTTAAAGGGTGCTAAGAGGAGCACTTGCTACATGGACAAGATTTAAGACGTTTTTTGGCTTTTGAACTTTAGGTACATTCTGAGTAGAAGCAACACTATAGCTCTATAAAAGCATACCTAACACTTTCTCAGTTTGAAACTTGGAACTTTCATGAAGTTACACAAGTATGCTATGAGTTGACTTTGGTAAAAAGCCAAAATAGGTTTTGTCTTAATGCCTGTAAGATGTGTTTACAGGCATTGTGTATATGTATATATAAGAGATGACTTACTGGAACACTGTGCTTGGGGCAGATGTTCTAGAGGCCTGTTTTGCTTTTCTCTCAGTGTAGGGTGTTATAGAAGATGGCATTTCAGGGGTGATGAGGCACTGGCACAGGTTACCCAGAGAAGTTGTGGCTGCCTCATCCCTGGGGTTCAAGGCCAGGTTGGATGGGACTTTGAGCAACTGGGGGATGTCCCTGCCCATGGCAGTGGTGTTAGAACTGGATGAGCTTTAAGGTCCCTTCCAACCCAAACCTTTCTATGGTTTTCTAGAAGAAAAGATGATTTAGAGGGTTTACTTCAAGTTTGGGGAAAAGGCATCATTGCTAAAGAAAATGAACGTATAGATGTTGTCAGTGCACAGGTATTCTCAGGCAGTTCTTCAACAGTAGATTTTCTCCATAGAAGTGTATATTCTTCTTTAAACATCCCAGACCACACATTTGGCAGCAAGGAAAGGAGCTCTCTTAACAGTATTCTGAAAGTATTCTAACAGCACTGAGGTCGACTGAACAGAATGATTAGCAGGTTTCTTTCCTTCCTGCTATTTAGAAGGAAGTGATTGAAAACCAAAATACTTAGACAAATATATCATGTGCAGCTCAGTACTAAATCATATGGAGGGGGTTAAAAAAAATTACTTTCTATTTGTCTTACAGTTTATGCCACAACAGCTGCCAATCCCAGAGAGTCATCGTATGCATGTTACTATGATGATGAAAGGCAGACTTATCTTGGGGACTGGTACAGTGTGAATTGGATGGAAGATTCAGATATGGTACGTTACTTAGATGGGGTTTCTGCATTTCCATGCATGAAAAATTACTTGGCTTTTTAAAAATAGCTCCTTTACAGGATTTGTGAAAATGCTTGTTTTTATGTGAGACTGAAATCAACAGATTGATTTGGTAAAAGTATTTATCTACTATTCAGAACCATCTATAATCTTTATTTGTTTGGGTCACTAAATTTCTTTCTGAAACTAACTTTTGGAAACATTGTCTTCTTTTGTTATTTCTAAGATTAGAAACTGTCTAGCTTCTAATAATTCAATAATCTGGATTTGCTTTTCTGAGCAAATTTGTTAAACAAGTTGGGTACTTCAGTAGGTTCTTCCTCTGCTTCAGGGATCCTTAGTGAACTGTGGCTAACTCATTTGTTAGCATAATAGGAAACAGTATTAGTGAAACAAATCTGGGATTTGTATGCTAGCCCATTCCCTTCTTGCCCATTTGCTGGGAGATGAGGAGATCATTAAAAGCAATTTGAGAATATGCTGTCAAATCTTTGTTTCAATATTTACTTTTATGTCTTTCAAAGGTTGTGTAGCTCTTGCACTATACCTCCTTTACGTACTGACAGCTAAGACCCTTTCCAGGTTTCCTTGCATTTTTAGAATAGCTGAATTTAAGTATCTGTGACCACATGGAATTTTCTTCATACAGGAGGATCTAAGAAAAGAAACACTCCACAAGCAGTTTCAGCTGGTGAAGAAACGAACCAACACCAGCCATGTGATGCAGTATGGAAACAGAGTATGTATAGGAGTGGGCTTCTTGGTCAGATATATCTTAAAATCTTTCGTGCTCTATACTTTTACACCTTAACAAAAACCCCCCAAAACCCCAAACAAAACAAATAAAACCCCAAAACAACACACACACCCACCGCTCCCCAAAGCTCTGCTGTAAATTGGCAGGTTTGATTTGGAAAATGAAACTGTTCATCTCAGAAGACCACTGAGCATTTAAGAGATGATGCTAAAAGAAGTACAGCCTGGTATTGTGTTTTAATCTAGGGAGTCAGGATGTGAGTTGTCTTCCAAGCTCCTCCAGAGATGTAACACTTCAGACAAGTATAAGAAGGGTATTTGTCACTTCCAGCCATATTATGAATATTAATGAAATGTTAATAAGTACACTGATCCTTCACATGGGAAGAGCTAAGAGGTGATACATCATTTATAGTAGTCCCATTATTCAACAGATTAAATATTTGTTAATTAAAAAAAAAAGTCACGTTACTGAACCTGATGGATCTTTATTCCCACAGTGAGTTTTGGAAATAAAAGTTCCCAAATTCTTGGCAGCCTTGCCCTTTTATAAAAAAAAACCAAGACATGCAGACCTGCACACAACTCTATCATCTCCTTTATTTTCTCTAATATAGCAAGTTTAGAGAGTTAGGTTTGCATGGCAAAGCAGGGACAGGCTACCCACTGAAGGGGATTGACATTTTCCATTTGTTTACTTTCTAACCCTCAGACCATCTCCTCCATGAAAGTGATGCAGTTTCAGGGCATGGGGAAGAAAGCTGTTCCCATCTCTCTGCCATCTGTGGAACACTATGACCTAACGCCTAGTCCTGATGTGCCTCTTGCAATCATGAAGCGAAAGCTGATGGTTACCAATGACATTTATGAGGCTAAGAAGATTGCTGCAGAAATGAAAGCACACCTGGAGGTAAGCACCAAAAAAAAAAATAATTGAACTACACCAGGTCAGATTTGTTTCCATCATAAGCAATAGTGGAAGGAACACCCCTGCAGCCAATGGGATTATTTGGAGTTTTTGCAAGTTGCAGCAGAATCCCTTTTCAAACTGGTAACCTCTGGCTGATGGTTTACTCTTCGTTTAAAATTCAGGGATGTGTTCACAAGGCACGTTCAGTAGTGATTATCTAGGAAAATGTTAGCAAATGCAAAATTCAGTTTCAGCTTTTATTGCCATGAAATTCCTCATCTGCATCCATAGGGAGTCTTGCTGGGAGGACTTACTCGGTGGTAATAGAGAAATTCTTGTTTCAGTAGAACTGAAGTCTCCCAAATCAAATAGCTCTTGCAGAATGGTAGTCAGTATTGTTCTTGGTGGTGTTTTCTGTCTTCTGCTGGAACGATAGACAGTGTATGATTTTGGGAGCCAGGAGTCTGGGTTTCTCTCTCCCTAGTTTTCATTTGTGTCTTAAGGTTCAAAAAGCTGTGCTAAAAAGAAATGGCAAAATCAGGTTCCTCAGGAGTTGACGGAGGTTTAAAGAAAAGAAACATTTCAGTCTTCAGATTAGGTTTAGAAAAAACATGGTTTAGGTTCTTATTGTTTTATGTGCAGGTGAGAGAATTTATCCAAGAATCCATGCGAAAGATAATCACCTTAGTAACAGGATCAGAAGAAGAGACCAAGCAAATTCTGTCAGACAGACTGACCATCAGCAATTATGACTGCTACCAGTCAGCAGTGAACCACTTCAAAACTCGTTGCTTCAACTGGCACTTAGCCATGGTAAGTCAAGTATTAGATGTAACCCAATAAACCTTCTGGTAAAAACAAGCACAGAAGTTATTAGCATGTCTGCAAAATCAGCTTTTATTTAAAAAGGTAGCTTGGGGGCAGTCATACAGCTTAGTTGTGCAGAAAGGGTAAGTAATATTTTTGAAAACAGGAAACGACTTCCAGTACACCTGTAGATAAGCAAGAAGATTACTAATAACAAACCCCAAAATAATCCCTAAGTTTTACTAATGAGTGCTGTCCTCTCATCAACTCCCTCTGCAGAAATCCCAGTATTAGATAAGTCTGCTTGAGGCATCTTTACTGGAAAACAGAAACATGAGCACCACCACTGTGAATTCCTAATTCCAGTATATTAGATTTCTGTATATGATTGTGGCTTGCATAGTTCATTGCAATAGCCTAGCTGCTACTTCCATGGTCTTGTTGAATTCCTGAGAGCCACCTTTTAGTTTAGGGGTTTTATTACTGTCTGCTCTTCCCGGGATCCCAACTGAAGGTCAAATCCTGTTGTGCTGAGCACTGTTTAGACAAGAATGAGAAGTCAGTTCCTATTCCAGAAAACCCAGTCCTGATGTCAGGCAAGATAACCCAAGTGGGCAGTGGCATGTGATAAAATGAGTCAACAGCAAATTAATTGATTTTAGCAGAAAGCTGTGGGATCACCTGGCAGTTGGCCAAGATCCAAGTACTGTGTACAGATGAAAAGCAGTCCTTCAGTTGGACCTTCTAATTAACCAGGCTGTTAGGCAGCTTCATTGCTCTAAAATTTTAGTTCCCCCTTAGCTTTGTTTGGTTTGTTTTGTTTTTTTTTTATTTGGGGTTGGGTTTTTTATTATTGTTGTTGTTTATGTGAGGGGTTTTTGAATGAAATTGGTTAGATGGGTGAGCCTTGCCTGAGGGACCAGTGTGTAGCCTTTACCTAATGAAGTTCAAAGAGCAAAGTGAACAGAAGAAAGATCCATTTAGCCTAGTGCTATATAGGCAATTAAACATCTTGAATATTAATAATCACTTCCACGATTTCTTTTGGAGAAACAATACCTGCTGTTTGTCACTGAAATGATTACCGGTATTTGTTTATTTCAGTATGAGTATGCACTGAGACAGCTGTATGCCTTGGTCAACCTTTGTGAAGGAGGATACCCCATTGACAGGTAAGGAGGCTTCCAGATACACTGTGTGGTTTTATCTATGGCTAAAAAAGCAGAAGCTAATAGGCAGAAGAAGGTTAATGCTAAAAGTGTTCTGCTCTGTTGACCATTTAGTCAAAGTTCTCCCTCTAAAGTTATGAGTACTTATTTTGGACAACATATTATTTGTAGTTCTCTCCCACTCATAATGATCCGTTTCCCCAGTAACCCTTTAATTTCCTTGTTGAAGACCCTCGGGGAAGTGACAGCCAGTCAGAGGATCCCAGTGTACCGCATAACAAAATAGCACAACTGGTGCAAGGGTGTTGCCCTGTAACTCTTGTATGATCTTACCCAGAGGCAAGGTTGGGTCCTGCTTATTTTCTCTACTGCCCCCTCAGCTGCTGGCTAAACAGATCACAGCATTGCTCCTTTCTGTTGAGGAAAGGGCCCGCATTTATGAACCTGTGTTAGGAAAGCAGGGAAAATAATGGTCTGGAGGTGAGAGCTGAGGGGTGGTGGAATTCTGTCTTGGGAGTTTGTAGCAGAGAATGAGATCCTAGCTTGTGAGTCACGTGAGAGGAAGAAACTTGACAGGAAAGCAGAGGAATAGGGAAGGGGAGGGCAGACTTGTAATTTAGTCAGCGTTCAGATGCAACCCAGAAGGTGGAGAACTGCTGCCCCCACTCCTGGTGGCATCCTGCTCCAGTCAGTTTGGGAGGTTTGAGAGCACAGGACCTAAAAAGTTTCTTATCATTATTGTTCTCTATTGCAGAATATGCCTGGCCATGGATAAAGTGTGCCTTGGGTATTAATGGAAACAGCAGTCCCTAATATAACCCTTAGTACAAGTGATAACGTCTCGTAACTGTAACAATCCAGACTTTACATGCATGCAACATGAAAGAGTCAACCACTGTACTGGAACTGTGCTGGGAGCTGAAGTACCTGACCGTGAGCAATACATGTGCCCTCCTCTGCGTCCCCAGCTGCTGCCAGCCTGCTGGCTTGACAGACCACCTGGAACTTTCAAATGGACGATTTGCTTCAAATACAATGCTCTTCAGAATCTCTGGATGAACACTACAGGCCACCTATCAGAGACTGTTAAATCTGTGCTAAATTTAAACATTGCTGTTAATTCAGGATTTTATTTTTGTTTTATACTATTGCTAACTATAAGCTTTTTAAGAAATGTTAATGAATTCTATTGCGGTGACTAATTTGCAGACTGGTAAAGAATGAAGAAACCAAAGCTTATTCTTTAAGCTTTAACTTCTTAAGAGTTTAAAGAAATTAGTTGCTTTTGGGAACTACTGGATGTGAACAGCACAGTTAAACTGTGAACAGTGAAAGGCTTTGTGGGTAGAAAGCACTGTTTCCCAAAGAAAAACACAAATACCTAATGCTGTAAATTTAGCAACTGTATATTATAATTAAATGTATATACATGCAAACCTGTGGGAAGTCACAGAGTATGGGAACTGCCTGTGAATAAAAATGAAGTTGACAATGTCATCAACTTACAGGGCAATACAGTGTTAGACATCTTGTGTCTTGAAAATAAATGAGACCTAATTAATTTTATGATATTGCATTAAAATTCTGTCCCTTGTAAGCCTTTTATAAGGCAGGTCATCTCAAAAAAAGAAAATCAACCCCAAAATCCCCCAACAAATCAAACCTCAACCCAAAATCAACAACAACAAAAGTATCAAAAGCCTAAAGTCACATTTGAAGGTAACCATTCCTTAGAGGTGACTGAGAAAATGAGAAATGGAGAAGATTATAGGCTATGAGGTGACTCAAAGGAGTTTCAGGTTGTCCATGCCTTTTTACATGTGGAGATAGGATATAAAAAATACTTCAGGGCTCTTTCCAGAATATGTTATGTGCAAAATTACCTCTCCATGGGAAAAGTACAAAGCATAATTAAAAACTAAACCAGCATCCTCAAGAGAGAGAGAGTTCTGGCTAGCTCTGCTCAGAGAACAGGGGTTATAGGGGATGTAAGTGAAGCTACTTCTATATAAAGAAGAGCCAGATAAAGCCAGGGACATTAGCACTTTCAGCTGTGTGGTGAGTGAAGGAGAGAAAGCCTAGAACACAGCTGTATCAAGATGGATGGCAAAAGGTGAAAGTAGGTGGATGGCAAAAGGTGAAAGTAGGTGGACCTAGGCTTTACTGAATTAAGAAATGAAAGTTTGCACCTTGGGGTTTGTTGAAGATTCAGGTATGTGCTGGTTTTGGGTTGCTTCTTGTTTCTTTTCAGGTGTAAAGCTGGTTGTTTTTTTTTAAGCAGAAGTCTAAAGCGAGTATGAAACTCCTGACTGCCTGAATGTGTTGCATGTGTTTCCCTGATGGCAGGAGGGAGGGTTGGCCACACGGAACAGCTTTTAGGCAGTCTGGCTTCAGTCATAAAATAGTGCAACCAAGAGCCCCCAGTCATGTGGAAAGAACAGGAATGTCTTCTTCACTGCCCTGTTTGAATGTATACATTAAATCTGCTAAGTTCTACACTTCTCTGCTTTTAGAGTTGTTCTGTGCCCTAGAAATCCAGGCTGCCTCTGAAGCACTTGGCATCATTGCCTCACAGCTTTTAACAATTTTCTCCACCCTCCAGAAATGCCCATTTTCTTTCAAGTATTTAGAAGAGGCTTTTGGTCTTTTGGATTTTCATATCTAGAATGCAGAGGGGAGGAAAAAAAAAACCCAAAACCATAAAGTCCTCCAGGTTCTTCACACATAACCTCACTTCAAGAGTCTCCAGCCATTGTAAGTAGGCTTCAAAAAAGTAATTATCAGATGAACAGGAAGCTGCTAGCACACATCCAAGGCCAGGCTGGCCAGGGCTTTGAGCAACCTGGTTTAGTGGAAGGTGTCCCTGCCCATGGCAGGAGGGTTGGAACTGGATCTGTAAGGTCACTTCAGACCCAAACCATTTTGATTTTTATTTTCACACATTAGTGACACCGAGGTGGCACTTGTACCTTGCGGCCCTTCTGCAGGCCTGTGTAGCTTTGAGGATGCAAAGCTGAAACATGACTGTCTGTCTTCCTCCTGCAAGAGTGATTTCCAGAGCTTCTCCATCTGAAATGATAGCCATGGAGTCGTTACCCCTTCCCTCAGGGATGTGCTGAAATGAAACAGGGAGGCAGTCCGCTGAAGATGTCACTGCACCCACAATACCATCTGAGATGCAGCAGGTTCTTATTCCTGCCCCACAAAAATTAGTGTGCTATTGAATTTCCAGTTTGTATCCAGACCCATTACCTTGGCAGTCACTGAGGACACAGAAGAAAAAAAAAACACCTCTGATCAATACATTTGTTTTAAGGCCTCCAAATAGCACTGCACAGGCTTTGTGCATGGTAGGCTGTTTATTTTGGGATGGTAATAGAACCGTATGAGAAGGAAAATAGTTTTAGGATTGTGCAAGGTTGGTCTTACGCCAGAGTATCTTGTGGTGGTGTATTGGGTAAGTGCAGGCACCCTCACTCTTCCTTTGGGCACGCAGCTGCTTCAGGCTGTCATTCCTAGAGTGCTGTGATGCAGAAATGACTTCTGCAAAACATGGAAAACTATCAGGTTCTCCAGAAAACCATCATCACCAGGCAGGGCAGGGCACAGCTGGGGCTGTGCTATTTACAAAAGCCCTTCCTAAGCAGAGTAGTAACCCACAGAAGAGTGTCATTGACACCAGCCAGGGCTTCCTGTCCTCCTTATTGATAGAGTTCAAGGCCCTTTCCCCAGCCCTTCTGTGCCAAATACGCTGAACACAGCAGTTCACTGCTTTCCTTTGAGAGGACCTGGAGGGCAGGAGGCATGATCAGCCTCCATAGCACACTGTGTGCTGTTTCTACACAATGCAAGCTTACATGGACACAGCTTTGTTCAGAGTGCATGTAACTGCTGTCCCTTCTCTACTGGCAATAAAGCAGAAAGTAGTTCACCTAGAGGTGGAGATAATGCACTTTAATTTTATAGATTCCTGTATTATTTTAGCTCTGCCCAAACCAAATTGCATCTTCTCCTACCATAACAGCTTAAGGTTAGAGCTGAGCAGCCATGCCCATTGCAGGATAGGAGGCTTAAGGCTTCTTCTGAGCTCAGCCTCTGCCCCGTGAGAATAGGGATGGAGGAGCAGCAGAGGGAAAGGGCACTTAAGCTGAAGTCCTGACTGAGCAGCATTTCATGCCAAGAACTTGGGCAATTCTGAATCAGAGGCTGCTTCCGTCCTAGAGACATGAGCCCCTGAAAGAGGCAGGAGACAACAGAACTCTCATAAGTCTGTAACCCCATGCCCTGCAGGCAGAGCTGGCCAATGTCTCACAGCAGCAGCACGCATCCAAGGAGCGACTCCAGTGGGACTCGGGCTTGGCACCAGCTGGGTAGGAGGAAATTTTCAAATCCAGCCTCCAACATACTGGACCAGGGCCCAGTGAGGCTGTATGATCTCCAGCCTGGGAGACCTGCAGCACCAAGAGGATGAGGCCCTGGGGCAGCTTTGAGAGGCAGAGCCACTTGAGCAGGGATTGGACTGGTGGCCTCCAGTGGTCCCTGCCTGCCGGAATCCCTGTGCAGGCCTGCGGAAAAAAGCCAGTCTTGTGCTGGGTTTCAAAGTACAGTTCATGACTGATGCATAATGAGCCCCAAAAGCAGAATTCAGCAGGAAAAGTGCCTTTGATTTCAATGGTTTTTATTTTAGGTTATACATGACCTGTTGGTGTAATTATTTCAGTGAATAATTGAGAGATGTTATCACTGGGTGCAAAGTGGCCTTAAGTAAGATCTGTGCTTGAAGCAGCCGCGAGGACTTTTCTCTTTGCAGAAGCTGTTGGGTTCAGCAGGTCTCCCTCTTCCTCCCTCTCACACTGGGATCCTTTCCTTGTGAGTAAATGAGTGATTGTTGCACAACGTTTCCCTGCAAATGAGTGTTTGAGGAGGCCTTGACTGGATTGCACAACCTTACTTGGTCACAGTCTCCCAAAACACTCCTGTCTGCTGATGGCTCATGTGAGGGCCAAAGCACGAGTCACGGCGTGACCATCTTGACTAACCAGGGGTGGCCACAGATCACCAGACTGGACTGCTTCCTCCTTGCCTGGGCTGCAGCATGAGGAAGCCCCATGGCAAAGCAAATGAATAAAACCGTATGGAGCATTTAAAAATGCCCATTTCATTCCCACATTTGACCTTTTGTTTTTTTTTTTGTCACTGCCCAAAATGTCAGGTATCAGTGCAGTACCCTGGGCACCCGGGTCCAGAGGGAGGCATGTGATGAACCACTCTGGTAGCCTCCACGCTGGGGACTCAGACCTTTCCCAGAGCCACCAGAACAACAGCACGTTTGCTCCAGACAGGCTATTTCTGCATGGCCCTAGTGCATGCAGAGCCTGAGTACAGCTGCTGAGCTGTGAGCTTGAAGAGGCATCAGCCATCTCTGTCCTGGGATGCTCCAGGATCCCATCATACAGGTCACCTCCCAGTTTCTGTTCCCTGACAAGGCAGGGCTGTGGTCGGGCTCTGGAGGAGCCGTGTCACCCCTGTATCCCAAAGATGTATGTTTCATGAAGCTGTTGCTGGTGGTTTATAAAATGTGACCAAACAGGCCAGGTGCCCCATGGGCTCCCCACTCTGCACCGAGCCCTAGCACAGGGATTTTCTTCCAGGCAGCTCGCAGGCAGGCTCAGTTCCTTGCATTACTGTCAATAATCTCTGAGCTGGGGACAGCCCTGGCAACCTTAGCAAATCAAATCAGAGCTTTGCAGTTGTTATGCCAGAGGAAAACATGGCATGTGCAACATGCGAGCCTTTGTGAAAGCCCACAGAAATTCAGCTGGCACTCTTGCATTTTGAAAACTGGGATCTGCAGGTCTGATTTAGGGACTAGGCTTTGATTTGAGACAATTTGGACTGCAATGCTTTAGCACTGTTGTGGTTTCCATGGGCTCCACTTATCAGTTGTATAATTCAGTTCCCTCTTGCCCTGAGGTCCAGCTGCTGACTCAGACATCCCAGGACACTGCAAGGTGCTAGAACACTTTGCTTCATCAATCTTTTGTTCAACCCTGGCCAGTGCAAAGTCCGGTTGCTCTCCGGAAATACCCAGATCAGTCCTAGCTTCTTTCCTTGCATGTTTCTACTTTAGCCTCATCCCCATCAGATTACTTCAAGCTCATTAACTGTATAAAGATAACCGGATGAGCCCAGGGACTTCAGTAGACATATACACCTTTGCTTCTGGGGCTGACAATAACTTGCAGCAGCCACGACAGAACTAAGCTGCTGGTCAGACCCCGCATCTCTGGGTCTGGCACTGGGGACCCACAGTCCTGCTGTACATGAACCCCATGTAGTGTGATACCTGTGCACAGGCGACAGGAGGTGAGGTGGGTGTTTTGCTTGGAGTCCTACCGATGGGAGTGAGGAGGCCAGTGGGAGGTGGGCCAGAGACCTAGTCTGGGCCCATGGTTTGTGTGGGGAATGGGCGTGAGAGGTGTGTGGGGTCTCCTTTGAGAGAGTCAGTGCAAACCAGACAATTTGGGGAGTGTTTCTGGGGGGGGGAGGGTTGAGAAAAAAGGAAA